GTTTCACGGTAGGCGGTACTAAGGTGAAGGACCTTTGTCATTATGTCCTTGGTGGGCGGAATGTTCAATTGTAGCTAAGTTAGAATGATAAATTGTAATAAGCTCGATGTGAACGGAATTATACCGGTTGTGACTGCGCTCGATAGAGGGCGTAAGTGTTGAGTTACATCGCGATATAGTTTCGTTCACACTCAGCTGTAGAAGGAGCAGACTTTTTATGGTCATTATGATTGTAATATAAACTTGGATTTATTTTCGTTTCATCGAAAAAGTGCCCTATAGTAGAGGAATTATACGCTTTGCGAAAAAAAGGTGTATTTATTAAAATCTCGCCTTCCTGGATCTTAATAATAATAATAATAATAATCTTTATTGCATTTAAAATTACACTCACTGTTGAGGTACAATATCACAATAGTACAAAATCTATGACACTGACGGTACTAAATGCTGTCTACCAAACTAGGCGAGGCCTGTATTTTGGATGACAATATCCAGCCGCAGGAAAATTTACATGTAAGATTACGCTAAAGTGTGTAATAATAAAATAGGTATAATAAAAACTGTGTAGCGTAAGGACGTGAAGATGTGTGTGTGAGTGTGTGTGAGTGTGTATGTGTGTGGGTGTGTGTGTGTGTGTGTGTGTGTGTTTGAGTGTGTTATCGTGTGTGCGAGTCGAGTGTGAAAAACGCGAAGATACCCAGTTTATCACAAGAGAGTAGAATGAAATAAATTATTTAATTGTTTGCAGTAAATTTTCTGTTTCTTGATAATTTAGCTTCTGAAGCCAGTTTGTAATTTTATTTTTAAGTTCGTGTCTTCTGAGACCTACAATATCTACTTCTCTGTTTATGTGGTTATAAAGTTTACATGTAATACTAACAGATTGACGACTGGCAAAGGCGGTTTTGAAATAGACCCTAGGACATACCGACATAAATCTTCGTCGCTTTGGGTTTGGAGGGGGTACATTTCGGTGCTTTCTCAGAATGGATTTTAGCACAAAGAGCTGTCGCACTGTTAGGACGTTGCAGTTTAAGTACAGTAAATGTGTTGGGTACCTGTAGGGTTTTTTGGTCATGACCTTTAGAACTGCTCTTTGTGCCCTCTCCAGACTGAGTAAATGGGTTTTAGCGGCTCCTCCCCAAACTGTGATACAGTAAAGAACCATGGATTCGCATAAAGCCTTGTAGACTAGTTTTATCTTGTCTATTGTAGCGGCACCTCTCAGGGTTTTAAAAATATGTATGAGACGTCGCAATCGCGTTGTCACCATAGTAATATGAGTGTCCCATTTCAGACGAGAGTCTATGTGAACACCAAGATATTTTGCACTTTCTGCTCTTGTAAGTTGTTGGCATGTACACTTGTCTTTAGAAAGTCATGTGTGTGCTTTTATATTGAAGTTGCAAGGAGGAGCGTTTGTTTTTCTCATTGTAAATGGAACATACAGCGTTTTAGTTAAGTTTAGTGTAAGGAGATTACCAGTGAGCCAATTCATGATCAGGGCTAGGGAATTTTCAGCTATCTCTCGCGTGGCACCCCAGTCAGGCCCCCAAATAAGGACTGCCGTGTCATCAGCGCAGGTGACAATGTGCAAAGGTCGTTTATGTAAAGCTGAAAAAGTGTGGGGCCTAGAATACTACCTTGTGGGACACCGTATGAGACACTATTTTCTTCACTAACGTATTGATCTACTTTTACCTTTTGTCTTCTATTGGACAGATAATCTTTGAAAATTTCATGGGCCATACCACGTATACCTAGCTTTTCCAATTTCGCTAGAAGGATAGGGACAGAGACCGTGTCAAATGCTTTAGAGAGATCTAAAAATATGCAAAGACATTTATTGCCGCAATCTAAATTTTTTACTATTTCATTAGTAAGATCCAGTACGGCATCTTCACATGAGATACCAGTGCGAAAGCCGTACTGATTTTTAGCTAGTATATTGTATTCAGTTATAAAATTTATGAGGGCCCTATTAAGAACCTTTTCTAAGATCTTAGATAAAGCAGGTAGTATTGCTATTGGCCGATAATTGTTGACACAATCTCTGTCTCCACCCTTATGAATCGGATGAACGATTGATAGTTTGAACGCTTCCGGGAAAACACCTGTCCTTATAGCGCAATTGCATATGTGGGTGATTGGAGGAACCAAAACGGAGCGGCATTGTTTTAGAACCTCGTTAGATATACCATCCCACCCTACCGCGCAATTGGGACGAAGGTCTTGAATGATATATGTTATGTCCAATTCGGAAACATCCAGTATGACTGCTGAGTTTAACGGGCTATTAATACCGGAAGTGATAACACTAGTTGTTTGGGCAAGGGGGTTGTTGTTAGGGGAAGAAAGTATCTTGCTCGCTAGAAGTGTGCCTATGTTACTAAGGTAGTTGCAGACCTGGTTGACTGACATTTGGGGATCATTAGTTACACTTAAAAGCTCCGTGGGACTGATTTTTATTTTACGTGTATTGGTAATTTCCTTCACGGCCTCCCACAAGGCTTTTGGGTTTTTGCCAGCCTTATCCAATCGTTTTTTTTCATATTCTACTTTTAGTTTTCGTAGGAGACTATTGCAGAAATTACGATATCGTGTATAAGTAATTTTTAGAGTCATGTTTGTTGGTGATTTCTTACATTTTAGGTGTAATCTATCACGATTTCTAATACAACGGAGTAGTCCCTTTGTTATCCAGGGTTTAAGTAATCTATTCTTTTTTTGTACTGGTATTTGTTTCGTATTTTTATAAATTATGGATGAAATAGTGGTAACCAGGTGGTCTGCTGCTGAATTGGCATTCTTTGTGTTTAATATACACGAAAAATCAGTGCTCTCTAAGTCCGTTTTAATATTAGAATAATCTATAAAAGTCTTAATATGACATTTTTTGCTTGCGGGTTTAATTTTTTCTATAAAACATACCGTTGGACGATGATCCGTTATATATGATTCCAGTACCAGTGTTGTTGAGGGAAGTGTAGACTTTAGAAATATGTGATCTATACAAGTATTGATTCTTGTTTTCAGTCTGTGTGTTGGAAAAAATCCATGTGATGCATTAAATGTCAAGTATTCATCACAGAAATGGTTTTTACTATTTGCAGATATATCAATATTTATATCCCCCATAAGAACTGCATTTACAGAGGATAAGTTGGTAAAGACATTATTTAAGCTGTTTATAAAGGTATCGAAGTTATCTCTAGTGCTAAAAGAGGGTGAGCGATATATAGCTACAATATCGAGTTCATCACCTATGTGACACACTAAACAACTTCCATCATCAAACACTGGTTCGCGAACAGTGCACTTTAATTTTGTGTTAGTGTAGATGATTACGCCATCATTTTGGTTGAAATAATTTTTAGTGGAGTAAGACATGTATCCCTCTAGGGAAGGGAGATTATTTACTTTCGAAAGCCAGCATTCCGTTCAAACGATTACTTCGTAGTCAATGTTTGTTGTAGTGAGTAATGCGCAGAATTGATCAAAGTTTTTATTAGAGCTTCGTATGTTCATTTGTAATAATTTAATAGATTGAATGGGGTTATTTATGTACTTAGGACAGATTGTAGGATAGCATACATAAGAGTTTGTTGCACACAAATAATCTATTTCAGAGTTTATTTCAATTGAAGCCATTTATAGTTGTAAATATTTGCGGTTTGGAAGAACACAATACGTGGACCGGCTGAGTAGCTCTGTTCGAGTTAAAATTCTTAGACTGTACATTTTTGAATGAGTAGGGAGGTGATGACTGATTGAGAGAATAGTTGATGAGGCGGAATGATAATGTGTGAAAAATGAGACAGTGTAGATAAATAGGTAGTGTGTTAAGCATGAATTTGGATATCAGATCGTGTATCTTTTCGTGTTATGTTATGTATTCTATTTGAGAGAAAGTTTATACGAGTATATTGCTTAAGATAATGTTTGTAGGTTAAGTGAGCTTGATTGAGCGTAAAAAACACTACAATAAGGTAGGACAATATCTCTGTAAACAATGTATTTGTGTGTGTTAAACATGTGTTAAAAGTGTGTTGAATTGATGTATGTGTCCGTGTGTATTTTCTTGTTGCGTTATGTATTCCATTTGTGTGAAAGTTTGTACATAGTTTATAATAACATAGATAAGTTAAGTTACCTTGATTAAGTTTAAAAATCACTACAATGAGGCAGAAAAATATTACTATAAACATTTTCAACCGATATAGGATATGCTTCGCACGTCACAATTTGTTACGCAGGTCGTGAAGGCATTGCTCTGATGAAATAAGGATTTGCTTATTGCCTTCCTCTTTACGCAAGAAGACATTGCCATTTACAGTCCAGCAGAATTTGAAAGCATTTTGTTTGGCGAATTCCCGAGATAAATAAAAAAGCTTCTTGGCACTGGCAGGGAGGTGATCTGCAACGTAAACTGGTTGGCGCTTGCCAGAGATGTTGATGAGTCCCGTGTTGAGTTTTTCTTCAACAGTTTTTTTACTGTTGTTGAAGTCTCGTACAGCAGCAATAGTTTTCTGTTTCATCTGGACTGTCTGAAACTCGGCAACGATCGGACGTGTAGACCCTGGCTTACTGGGCAACCGATAAATATCACGTAAATCTGATGGAGTAATCACAGATCCTACGGTATCTCCGATCACACAAATGGTTTTGGCTAGATCGGAAGTGGTCTCTTTATCAACTTGTGGAACGTTTCTTATCTCTATGCTGGAGGATCTAGATTTGAGTTGGAGGTCTTGAATATTCCTTTCCAGCTTTTCAATACAAAGTCGCTGTTCCAGACGTTCCTTTTGTAAGGTTGTTAGACTCGATTTTAACTCCTCATATTGATTGTTTATAAATTCCATTGACTGTACAATTTCATCATTTGATTTTTGAATTTTATAGTTTTGGAGTTTTAGTTCCGAAATATCAGTAGATAGTTTAGATATAAGAGAATTTTGTTTAATAAACATATCGTTGAGTTTGGTATCCAATTCTGTCTACCAGTTAGTTAACAATTCCATTATATCATGCTTCTGGTCATGACTATCACTTGCCGGTGACGGGGCCAATTCAGTGCGAGGGCGCTTATTTCGTGTTATATTCACGAAAGAAACATCGCATTGCTGCAGTGCGTTTAAATCAGATTCCGACTGTGTATGTCCCACAGCTGTAGTCGATAATTTCGGAGGTGTTCGTTGAGTGGACATGTTGTATTTTATATAACCAGAGTGCACTGTATGAAATAATGTTGCTATATGGGATGCAAATTATGAGTTATAAACGTGGTGTTTACAAAACAAGTATTTCCAAAATACGTAACTTGGTCTTGATCGTGCGACCTGACGATGCGGGTTGCCGGCTTGTTAACCCGCCACGCTACCAGAACATGAGCTAACGTATTGAAATTGTTTATTGTGTGCGGCTCCAATGCTTCCAAATGGTAGGTAGTTTACTTACATAAATTAAAAGATGGCGTCGCAACATTACCCACCGTTTGTTGAAACAAGAAATGTACAGTGAACCGGTTTAGTTCTTACTTTAATCTGTTTACCACAAGATGGAGTAAGTTGTGTCTATCGTCCTTGATGTGACAAGCAAGGAATTCAAATAAAAAACGGATCTTGTTCATATACAAAGGTTATAAAGGTTAAAACACAAATCGTTTTTAACTTATGACGTTCCAATTAACAAACAACTAAATTGTTGCAAGCATTCAATAGAAAAACCGGTCTGGTACGAGTCGTTTCGTACCTACCTAGATTTTACGTAGATTTTCGCGAAAATTTGTAAGTACCAAAATTTATCTTAATTTGCAACTTTATTTTTATTTTTGGAATTATTCCTTTATGCGTGATTCTAGGTCAACGGGAACTACCATATAGGTTTTCGACCCAAAACCTATACGGTACTTCCGGTTGACTTGAAGTTGAAAATTAAGGTAAACTTTAGTACTTACAAGTTTTCGCGAAAATCGAAATTTGCCCATATATTTTTATCGTGTTGACTCAGGACCTTGATTTTTATGCACCTGATAGGGCCCATGGACCTCAGTATCTGGTATAAATTTCAACTGGCCAGGTCTACCCATTCCTGAGAATGAATGTGAATGAATGTGGTAAGAAAAGAATACTGTTTAAAATAGAGAACATGAACATTCCGGCGAAGGCATATAACCATTTGAGCTTAATACGATACTCAGAGATGAGATCAAATTTGTGTAAACCGAATATGAATCTTATGCAGACATTTTGGAGACGCTCAAGTTTGTTCAATTGGTCTTCGGTGAGATCTAGATAGCTAACATCGCCATAGTCAAGTGTAGGAGAAGGATTATGCTAGGGCGATTTCGGTTTCGGTGGCAAGGAAGTTACGAAGTCTTCGCAATGACCCCTCTGCAGCAAATAATTTTCGACTAACCTCCCCAATTTGAGGAGCCCAGGACAAGAACTTGTCTATACAGATCCCAAGTGTTTTACAGTGTCACTATATGGAATACTGGATCCATCGCAATAGATAGTAGGCAGTTGTTGCTAATTTATCAAGGAGTTCATCCTAGGTTCGTTCCTACTATAATTACCTGAGTTTTAATTGGATTTAATCTTAGCTCATACTGATTACTGCAGGTACATTTATGTTACCAGGGACTTCCTTTCTAGGGTATACCTGGTTGCACCAGGGACTTCCTTTGCACCAGGGACTTCCTTTCTAGGGTATACCTGGTTCCCCGGCTATTAGTACCCGGCGAAGGCGTGCGGTTTTAGTCGGTTCGAGTCCGACATGCCACCGACAGGTGGTATCCGAGGGGATTTCCGCACGGAAGAAAAAAAAAAAAAAAAGGGTATACCTGGTTCCCCGGCTATTAGTACCCGAGACGGCGTGCGGTTTTAGTCGGTTCGAGTCCGACATGCCACCGACAGGTGGTATCCGAGGGGATTTCCGCACGGAAAAAAAAAAAAGACGTGTGGCACTCGGGGACTGCCGCGGTAAAGCTATTGCATAGCATTTTGTATCAACTTATGCAATTATAATTATTTATTTATTTTATTTATGCAGTATTTCTTTTTCTTTGATATTAATTCAAGTTACACTTTTTGAGCGTGGTGACCGATAAGAAAACAATTTTTTTTTCTTTTATTAAATAAAAATATTGAAGCATATATGTATTACAATTTGTTTTTAAATAAATAAATAAAAAATATTATTATTAAATCAAATTACATATCCATGTAAGATTTTTCTGCATTATGTTGACGAAATTTCCTTTGACGTTCAGCATTTGATTTTGGTACTGTTTTTTGTTTTGTTTTTAGCGTGAGGTTTTTTTCGTTACGGAATTTCTGGATTCGGTCCCCGCGCTCAAGGCCCTCGATAGAAGCTATGCAATAGCTTAAAAAAAAAGGTACATTTATGTATCAAAACTTTGTTAATAATTAATCGAGTTGATAAAAACTACGAAGAGTAATGGGGATAGCACGCTGCCCTAAGGTACGCTCGCAGAAGTAGTGCACCAGGAGGAATAATTATTTTCTATATAAGCACGCTGCTGACGACCATGCAGGTAGCTATGAAACCAGTCAATTATTGATGGAGATATGTTGTAAAGTCAACGGTGTGGAAAGCGTTACTGACTTACCTCTTAGGGTGTACTCTCTTTCCTCCATGTTGGACCTGATATCCTCCGTAAAATTATTGGAATTAGGGTTAGGAGTACGAATTTAATAGGACAGAAAGATGAGGTCGTGATAGGAGGAGGAATCAGCAGAGAACTGACCATGTTTCGGCACATGCTCTGCAGAAGATACTATGATGAGATCAAGGAGAAAGGAATAGCGGTTTGGCATAATTACTTTGTGTGAGATTAAGTTGTAGAATAAAAATATTGTTATAATCCATGACAGCTCGAAGAAAGGAAGAGAGAGAATCTTTCTTAAGTAAACAGTTGTTAAAGTCAGACAGTCAGTCAAGACAGTTGACAAAATGCAGGCGATTCATTCGCGAGTCGAGGATTTGTATATGTATGTGTGGCATAATTTATCTGCCTGTCTTTTTCTTTTATTTCCGTGGACGTGATTGGTGGCTGCTTAGGAATGAAATCGTTTTCAAAATAAATTACATGACACAGATAAAGTGTAGGGAATACGGATTGAGCGAGGAAGCTACAGAATCACAACATAAAAAGCATCAGCTGCCAAAATGTCAAGTTTGTTGCCCCAGCAGTTTAGGCTCTGCTTTGATGAATCAGACAGTCAGTTAAAGCAAGTATTTTAAAATATATAGAAAAGGAAATAAGACTATGAAAAAGGTTAATGTTGAGAGAAAACAAAAAATACTTTAAAAAACAATAAATTTAATAGACGAATAGCAGAGATACAAAATTGCATATAAAATACACATGTACAAAGTTATAAACATAATATTCGCCACGTAAAACCATTTTTGCCTCTGATATGCCTTTTCGGTGTCCCTCAAGCCATCTTTAAGTACATATTTTCTAATTCCTAAGGCCACAACTTTAATAAATTGACCATAATCAATAGTAAATATGTCACAATTGAATATAGCCCTATCTTTACCCGACATTCTGCATATCATGTCGGTGAGATTTTGGTCGCTAAAATACCATTCGTTGTTGAAGAAATAGCAGAACACGTTTGACATCTTGTAGAACTTTTGATACAATTGTCTGAATCTGAAATTATAAGAAAATCATCATAAATTGACTGAAATTTCTGCACAGTAAAAAATTTTATGCTACGAATACTTTTTATTAGCATTGGTTAGGGTCGTGATTTTTGTTTTGTGACACATACTTCTTAGTTTTGATCTAGACACCGCTGCGTAATGTTAATTGTATAATGTTTAAACTTAGCAGCAACGAACACGCAACTAGGAAAGTAACTAATAACGTGAAAAATGACAGTAAATAATCATCATCATCAACAGCCTTTACTAGTCCACTGCTGGACATAGGCTGGCCATACGGGTTGGTATAGGGTTTATGTCAAGTTTTCCTTCTTTCTGCAGTGCTGTTGTCCTGCGTAGTTTGCTCCCTTAGTCGACTCTTACGACACCCACGGGATAAATAAAGGTAGTGACACTCTGTATTCTTAATCCGTCACCACACGGTTAGTAAATCAGAGAATTGATAATTGATTGATTTTTTATTGGTAATAGTTAAATTACTTTTAACGTTTAAGGCATTCTTTAAATAATTTTTAAATATCCCGGCGTATTAGATTTCTTCTTTTTCCATTTGTTTTTACCTCGGGAGAGCCAGAGTTCTATAAGGCTACTAGGAATTTTGATGATATATTTTAGAAATGTATTATTATTTAGTTTTTTTTTATGTTAGAGGAGGCAGACGAGCAGACGGGTCACCTGATGGAAACTGACTATCGCCGCCCATGAACGTCTGCAACTCAGGAGTCACAAACGCGTTGCCGGCCCTTTAGGAAGGAGTACGCTCTTTTCTTGAAGGTTTGAAGGTCGTATCGGTCCGGACATACCGCAACTATCCAGGTAATAAGGATGAAGACTTTGCCGTGTAGAACGATGGCGGAAATTTGCGGCTGGTATTAGTCCGAACAATTCCTCGGAGCACTCTCCATGATATATGCGATAGAGAATGCAGAGTGAAGCCACATCTCTACGTAACGCCAAGGGATCGAGGCGATTTTTGGGCTATTGACGATTCGAGTCGCTCTTCGTTGGATGCGGTCCAGACGGAGAAGCTGGTACTGAGGTGCCCCTGCATAGAGATGATAACAGTATTCCATATGCGGCCAGACTTACGCCTTATAGAGCTGAAGGCGGTGGGCCGGAGTGAAATACTGCCTCGCTCTGTTCAGTACACCGAGCTTCTTCGAGGCAAATTTAACCTTACCCTCTAAATGACCCGAAACTGGACTTCGATCGATATGTCGATGCCTAGGATGCCGATGCTGGCTCAGGCAGTTAGGGAGGTGCTCTCAAACTGAGATGATACGACAAATGGTATCTTTTTTGCGGTGAACGCACATACCTGTGTCTTTTTTGGGTTAAACTGGACTAGATTTAGTCGGCCCCAATCTGAAACCTCCGCTAAGGAAGTTTCAATTTCAGACACAAGTTTGTTTCGACTCTCGATGACGTTTTCCCGAGAAATGTTGGGGCGGCCGGTATAAAGGGCATCTCCTGTGCTATCATCTGCATAGCAATGAATGCCACT